GATCTAGCCTCATGCCCAGCTCCCCAAATCCTGCTAATTAAGCAATCATATTTCCCTGGTCACATGCAACCCAACTGGTGTTATCATGCTCTTTTAGGCTTTTGCAGCGAAGCTGGGACCCAACCTGTTGTTCCTTAGCTAGGACAGAATCTGTTACAGCCATAGCCTCAAGCGATGTTGCCGGTTTACTGTGGACAATAAGGGATGGGACTTTCTCGTAATGATGTCAACATGGCAGGGCCAGAGCAGAGCACGGAGAGATGAAAATGTAATCCAGAGGCCACCCAGAGAAGTCTAGAGTCAAATCCTAGACTTCTCTGTTTCATGAGCCAATGCATTCCTTTATTCACTCCTTGACGTAGGTGTATTTCGGTGTTTTTGTCATTTGCAATGGACAGAGAGTCCTAACTAATATTCTACCATGACAAGGGAGTAAAAGCAATGAGCTCAAGGCAATCATTTATCCATGGTTGGGAGGTAGTGCGGGGAATGTCTCTTATTTCCTCAGTCTGCTCATATAGCCTCTGAGGGATTTCTGTAACTTCATGAGGAGACACAAATCTGCCCCGTGTGGGCTATGCTTTAAGGAGATTTGCTGTTGGTGGAATGGGGCTTTGATGGGTCATCCACAGCCCTTCATCCTGTGTCCTTTAACATTGCATCCCATTCACAGGAAATTGCTAGATCCAAGGGAGAAGGACCCTTCTTCTAGAGTTACTGACTCCCCTAACTACCCACTGGACGGAATATACTTTCTGGGATGTGGCTCAGGAGACTCCACGTGTTACATAGTAGAATCGGGCTCCATTAATTAGCCCCCAAACCACTGCCCACCAGAAATCTTTGCTGAACTCTGTTCTGGTTTAATAATTTAGAAGATAGATAGATATTTAGGTCTGGTCTGAATAGTATCAGTTTTGGGACGGAGGGAGGATTGAAGAGATTGGATTAAATGATTATCCTTGAGGTGGTTTACTTTAGGAACGTAACGTAGGGTAGGGTTTGGTCTTAGGTGTGTCTCCTCAAGCAGCTCACTGTCTGGAAACCCATCTCTGACTTGCCATTACTTCTGGAGAGGACGGGGCCTATCAACTCAGGCCTCATTGCCTGCCCTCATCTTACCCCACCACTTGGAGGCACTTACAAAGAAATGGCTTATTGATGTGCAACACACACGTGCACACATCTTCACATCCTACACCTATCTACACATTCCTCATAGCAGTGCACACACACACACACACACACACCATCTATGTGATAAATGTCTACAGCCTTCATATGGGCATATCTTCCTTCTCTACACAAATACTGACAAACACACACACCACCCCAAATCTATGAGGCAGCCTCTAAGGTGATGTCTTCTTTCCTACCATGAAGGCAAGGAGGATCGTAAGGCAAGTCCATGGCTGTGTTTTGCCATCTTGGGGAAGCCTGTGGTCCCACTGGTGAAGAAGATGGCCATTGGGTCCATGGTCTTTGACCTAATACAGGTGTGTTTGGGGGAAGCTGATCTGCAAAGGGATTAATGACAAAAGGAGAAAAGTCATATATACTCTTTTTCTAGCTTCTGGATGAGCAAAGGAAATAATAGGAGCTTGGAGTTAGGAAACTAATGGTTTGCAATACTGAAGGAAAGCAGTGTTGGTCTTAGGCATCACACTGACTTCATGTGAAATCTGCATAAATGGATTGCCATTTTTTCATTTAGAAAAAGGGGGCGGGGAGAATGATTTGAAGGAAAAAAAAAGAACAAGCACTTAAATATAACCTACTATGGCCAAGGCAATGCTCTAAGTAATGTACAATTAAGAACTCATTTACTCTACAGAGCAACCCTAAGAAATGATTACTACTCTTATCACTCCAGATGAGAAAGAAAGGTTAGATAGCTTGCCTGACGATGTAACATACTAAGTGGTAGGGCTGTCAAACCCAGATAGTCTGACCTTCAACCGTGGAGCTTCCCATCCCTTGGCTGCCACTTTCCCAGTATTTGGGAGCAGATGGTTTCTCCCACCTTCTGCAGAAAACACAATCAGTAAGTGATCAGAAACTCACCTGATCAGTGACCATAAGTCTAGCCACCCATCTCGGTGGTGGTCAGACACTAGGAGCTTGTTTTTCAAGGAGGGACACGCAGAAGCCACAGAGTCCACCTGTGGAGCAAGGGTCTCTGTGGTCACAATGCCCTTAGCTTGAGACTTTTGTAGTCGGTAGAGAATGTCCTTGGCTGTCATCTGAGTGGTCCCTGGCATGAAGATGATCCCTGGGGATGAAAAAGGAACTGCTTGCTTTATGGTATTCTTTTATATTCAAGACCCCCAGGTCTGCTTGTCTGCAGAGAAACATCCTGTTTTCCTGTTGCAGAAATATGTAAAGAACGAGGAACATTAGTACCACTTAGGAACTGGTTTGAAGTGGAAAATCTCAGGCTCTGCCCCAAACTTACAGAATTAGAATTTACATTTTAGTAATACCCCTGGGTGACTCCTATAGACCCTAACATTTGAAAGCCCTGTCCTAGCTTCTTGCATTATAGATGGGTTCATCCAGAAGATAGGTGGCCCATACTTCTCTTCACTTTGCACTTGACCTGGGAATGAATATGTATACATGTATACGATAGAAACATCAGGATTTGTTGCATCTGTGCCCCTCATATTTGTTCTTCCTAGAAATCCTGGGGTTCTCTTGAATCTACTCTCTTCCTTTATTTCTCATATCCAGCTCATTGATATCCATACTGTCCTGTGTCCTTTCCCGCCTTTCTTTCTATCTCCATCACCTCCAGTGAAATCAGACCATTGGGTGCCAAACTGAACCCTCCTCTTTGGTACCCTTCCCAGAATATCCCACACTGTTTGCTCCCCCCAGGCACTCCAGGTTATTAAAAGAGAGCTGAAAATGCTTCCTTATGAAAGCATGCAAACTTTACATTTAAAAAAAGCTAACTTAAATAAATAGTGAGAAGGTCCAAAATAGAAAACCAGCACTAAAGGCCTCCAGAGTTCACTCATTGGAAGCCATATGAGGGGAGAACAGGCTATATTCACACAGTCTCGTCACAGATTACACCACTAATTACAGGGGGGAAAAGGGCCCTTCTACCAGAGAAATCTGGTGGACACACATTGAGCCAGGTAATTAAGCAGTAGCACTGATTATGATGCTGCTCCTTTTGGACCCCCCTCCTTATGTTCCTCACCATAGTCTGTAATGGCTAAACTCCCTTAGCCAAAAATTAATCTGTAATCAATTCTGGCGACCTCTTGCTTTTTTTTTTT